TTAGATCGAAGTTGCAGTCTGGATCAGCCAGGATGAGATTGTATTTTTGGAAGCAAATTTGATTGAACTTTGGCGATATACTGGGTCTAATTGTTGCGGATGTGGGTAAAAATTAACTGTCAGTCTTCAAATTAGCTTTCGAAGTCATCAGTCAACTTACGTCATGTCGTGCATCAGTTCGCCTATAGTTCACCATTTGAGTCTACGATGCTCTCTTTTTGCTACCATGCCCTGAAATGGCATTAACCAAACTGATGCGCTTGACCGCTAATCTCATGTTCAGGGCCCTCAAGGCCCTGCGACAAGTCAGGGCCTCTACTGAGGCGTAATGCTGGAGCACGGCCAGTATCTATGCTGGCTAGCAACGCTTATAGGCATTTACTTTAGATTTTTCTGCTGATAGACGCAAAGGGTCATTTTCTTCTCCTCCTCCTGCCTGGGTCAACCTCGGACCGTTTGGGATAAGATCTTGTGTTTGAAGCAAGAAAGCCTTCCTCATCTACGCCATGGAAATTCAAGACCCACTTGCTGTTAGTCCCTTCGGTAAACCTTTTTTTTCTCTTGGAAACTGTTTATTAGGCCAAATTTTTGCAAAAACCTCGGTGACGAGAAAGTGACCTTGGAATTTTCTTTTTTTTATCTCCACCAATACACAAAGACAGAACAAATCGAGCCAAACACACGAGTCGGCCAAGTGTCCTCCCTTCAGCCATGTTTCCCGTATCAGGCAAGAAAACAAAACTGGCGCCTGGCCACTGTACTTCAGGTTAAGTGGTTCAGCTTATGAGTGTGTTCACACAATAGCCTCTTCCAGCAGCCCTGTTTTCTTCTTCCCACCCACCAACCATCTGCAGCTAGGTATCTTGAGTAGTTTGATAGGAGGTCAATTCTTTCGCTTTGCATTCTTTTCCCAATTATCCCATTGACGAGGTCTGCGTCAGAGTCCAAAGATGCTGAGAGCTTCATTAAAATGTTATCAAAACTGCAGAAAGTCTGACCTTTCCCTAAGCGTAATTTATGTATGCATACTTGCTAGTAGACTTTATGACATGCCTGCCGATGTCAACACATCCGATGGTAGAACAGAAAAAATCAGACCTCGTCAGGCCTTTATTTTGGGGCTGAAAATAAAACAAAATGGCGGACAGACAAAATGTTTTAGGCTCTGCATATTTATTCACTTTACTCTATCTCCGACGGGAGCATGGACAAACATTTCACTTCTGCGGGCTTGGGTATAAGCAGCTTCAAGTCCAGTTTGCGGGCACTTGGACCCCCGTAGTGGTGGTGGTGTTGGTAGGAGGCGAAAATATGAGATGAGGGAATGAAGGGGAGGCAGAGAAGGATACGACTAAAGATAGAAATTAAGAGAAAAAATAGGGCAAAGAGCCAGGATAAGATAAGATTTGAGAGGGTAGTAAAGAGTGTCTGTAATCGGTTAGGGAGGGAGGGAGCGGGCTAAAGTAATTATTATGGTATACTCTTTCAGAAGTTG